CCTCAATTATGATGATCGTATTATATTCATCCTCAAACTTTAATTATACCCCTTACACAAACTAGCTACCATTATTCTATGGCCAAACCAACATTTTCTTTATTGAAAACCAGCAAATTAAGGTTCGTGAAACTGCACATCAAGCTAAAAAACCTTTAAGGGGTTGGTTCGGTGAATATCAGCTGGGCTGTGGGGTTTACTCTCTTCAAATCTCAAGTTCCCAAAAAACTCTTGGAGCCATGGGCTGTTGGGTATAAAAATACTAATTTTGGGCTATAAAGATTTAAAAATTATTTGGGAACGTGGTTGAATTTATATTTTTAAAAAAATTAATTTTTTTTATTAAAATTTAATATGGTTTATAAGTTTTAGATTGTTTTAATATGCTAATGTTAAAACTAATTTTTTAAAAATAAAAAAACATTATTAATATATATTTTAACACAAAAACTTATTTAAAAAACAACAATTATCATGCTATCAATTTAATCTGGTGCATGAAAACTAGCACAGGATACCTGCGTTTTCAGAAAAAAATATCATGCTGAGGAAAATATTTAGAAATGGGATTTCTAGTATTAAAGCTTAAGCTCCTGGAAGAAAGGAGTAAGGCTATCTTGTGTTTACCATCATCCGCCGATTCGTGAAACTACTTAATTATGGACAGAAAAATCAACTGTCCACTTTATTTAAGAAAATAAAAAACATAATCAAAGGACTAAATTGTCAGAAAACTAATAGTTTAATGGTAAAAGTGCAGGGACTTATAGTAACTTAACTGTTTTTTTTTATCTTTGTTTGGGGCCCGAGTGGCCGGTCTGATGGGTGTTCGTCGTTAGTTGTATGTTAAGGGTATTTTGGGTTTTCGGTTCTACATTTCACAATTGTGCTTTTGAGCTCCACGTTTGTGGCAGCGCCACTGTTTTTTTTTATGCTTTTTTTTTTTAATGTACAAAGAGAAAAAAAAAAAATCTTATTTCCAAACTTTGATGCATGTTGGGTCTGAGATTTGTTTTTGAATATTTTTAAAAGTATTTTTATTTAAAAAAATATTCAATTAATATTTTTTTTTAGTAACTATATTTTTAAAAGTATTTTTATTTAAAAAAACTATTCAATTGATATTTTTTTTTAGTAATTTTTTTTTTTTAATGTACAAAGAGAAAAAAAAAAAATCTTATGTCCAAACTTTGATGCATGTTCGGTCTGAGATTTGTTTTTGAATATTTTTAAAAGTATTTTTATTTAAAAAAACTATTCAATTGATATTTTTTTTTAGTAATTTTAATGTTCTAACATTAAAAATAAGAAAATCTTAAAAAAATTATTTTAATATATCTTTAAGTATATATTATTTTAAAAGAAATTTGCGTCATAATTTCAAATACATATTTAAATCAAAATCCCTGAATAATTTTTTTATATAAAAAAATAGATAAATATAAAATCCAAATAATATCCAAAATATAAAATTATCGCAGTTATTTTTTGTTTTTTATGAAAAAAGACAAATAAAAAACCCGTCTAAACTGAGTTAGGCCCTTGCTCTAAAAATAATAATTTCATGGGTATTTTGGATAATAAATCTTCAGTGCATAATTTTTCTTTTCCGTAGGATTTCATTGTTTATACTCTACGTGATTCCAAGATAATCCCAAAAAAAAGAGGAAAAACATAGCATTTCTAGCAAAACAAGCAATCAAAGCCCCAAAACAAGGTGGTGAACTGTGGGCAAATAATGGGTTTATTTTTGCAGAGATTGAGCTCTGGGATTTTGGAGAAAGGGGTCACTTTCAGCTTCTTTTGTTTTCGATGTTATGGAGAGCTAAGTGCTTGTTTATCGCTTGTTTTTTCCTGTGGAAGAAGCATGTCATGATGGGAGGAAAACAGAACACTGGATGTCACTCCCATCACTTCACATCCTGGAACATAGATTAAGAAATTGTGGTGGCAAGTGTGGGGTCCAAATAGTCCAGAAAATACGAATATCATTTTTGTTTGTGGAACAAAAGTTGCAGAATGACAAGAGGACAAGGAACACAGGACAGCAGAAGTTTCCAATACAACATCAAACAAGCAGTTTTCAGGTATCAATCGCTAGACTGTCATCGTTTAGGTCAAACCAGGCTAGCATCTGGTGGAGCTGAAATGCTGGCGGAAGGTTTCATTTGAGCACAGACTTCGAAGGCTCCTTGAACTGGGTCCGATAGGAAGTTCCGAGGAGGTCGTGGCTGGTAGGAGCACCATTATCCGCTGCTTCCAGTGCCTGCTGGGTGATCATATGTGAGATGATGGCAAATGAATCTTAAGGAACAAGAAAAATTCTCATCACATATTAGGATGTTGGCTACATAAAACCAATGCCCCCGCAAGAACATCATCAATTCCTTACTTCTATATACTGCAGGGTTCATCTTCATAGCACTGATACTGGCTGTCCATGAAAGGAAATTACGGGGCACAAGAGTGTGTCAACACAAAAGGAAACTTAAACGAGCAGAAGCTTGTATGTGAACGCAGACATGTACGTACGTACATCATAAATGTGCATTGAGCAGTCACCAAAAAATTAACGGCATGGAACCAAGCTCCTTTCTTACGACGTAGACTGTCATCTAAGTAACAGAAGTACACAGTTTGAAGGACATGCAAAAGGCATCAAGTTAAAGCAACCTATTCAACTGTCTGGCCTAAATCTTATAGTGGTAGCACGGGTTTCAGCAAAAGAGCACAAATCCTTCCTTTATTATACAAAGGAGCCATGGGATATTATGTAGTCAAGTTCGAGGAATTAATCACCCAAATCAAAGGAATTTCCCAAGCAGGGAATAGACACCTTCAATGAACAACTCCGAAATTATCACATTAATGGAAGAACAGTGAAAATAATGAAGCTAACAGGTATCAAACATGCTAATTTTCAAGCATCATGCACACATGGATTTATCTCTTAAAAAAAGATCTCGGCTAAAAATATAATTTGTATTAATCTCCGGCACATTCATACAACAAGAAAGATTTCACAATGTACCACAATCAATAACCATTTTTTCTTTCAAAATTAAGTGATGAACATAAATAAAATCTGATTAAAAGAAACTAACAGGGGAAAGACAAGCAACAAAATCCACACAAGAACGAGTTAAAAATCCTAAATCACTACCTTTGGTTATCAAATACTAAATTAAGGTTTCCATTTGATTTTGCTTTCACAAAACTGAACTATAAATTAGAGCAAGAACTAATAAAGAAAAGAAATTTAAAACTAACGACAATGAGGTAGGAAATGCAATACCTCATTGTGGCCAGGAAAAATCTTCTCCTTGAAACCTGAGGTTTCAAAATCAAGAGGATCCAGAGGCTTTGCACTTGGTGCCAAAACGGTTTCTACAGCATCAATTGAGCCCTCGATGCCATCGCCACCGCTACTGCCACCCACACCACCATCACCACCACCACCAATCTTACCAATACCGGACCATACCGTAGGAACAGAGAAGATCCAGGGTATTAAATCGGAGAGGGTTCTAGATGGAAAACCAGCCCATAGTTTCACGAAATTCGATAATATCGTGTGATTGAACAAAAAAACAGAGACAACGCAACGAAATGAAAATTCTGTTTTTTTTTCGTAGCCCACCGAGGATATCTTCCCACTGCTTAAAGAGCGGATACGAAGATCAAGACTTACAGCACACGTTGGCGACTCCGTTTTAAGAGAGTGTTCGCCGCCTCTCCCACCAACGTTGCCTCCACCACCTCCACCACTATTATTACTATTAATGGTATTTCTAAGCAGCTTGATAAAACTTATGATGGCTGCACTGTGGATGAGAACTAATGGAAACAGCTCACAAAATGTTTGCTGTTGAAGGGAGTTCGATTGTTTTGGAGTAGCGAGGAGAGGAGTGGAAATGTCAGAATGAATCTCAAATCTTGTTTCCTTTTCTTGACCACCAGCAAGGGAGAATTTCTCCCTCTTGCTGATTGAAGCTCCGAAACCAAGAGAGATTCGCAACGGTTTGATATCAGAACTGGGACCAGGCGTCAACACCATTTTAGGACGGAAAGCTGAGCTTCTCCCAACAACGTTAATCTGGTTGGATCTTGAGAGAGATAAACAAGGCTTGATAAACGGTTTCGGTGGTGATTTTATGGGTTCTGGACAGGATAGAGTGGAAGAGGAGGACAAGGCAGTCATTTCTGTCTTGTCTGGGTTTCAGCTGTGAGGGTTTTGGAAACAGGATGGAGTGGAGTTCGGTGGTGATTAATATTTATAGAAGAAAGGCGTTGCTTGTCTGCTTCTAACACAAGCGTCGGGTAAATAACGTATCATAGCCAGTCAGGACGAAATCCAGAGGTCATCCTTTGGTTTGGAGTTTGGAGGTGTAGTTGGTTTTTATATTTGATGGGATTCATATAAAAAAAATATTTTTTATTTTTATAAGGTGTAATTTTTATTTAAAAAATTATACATTAAAAAGAAAACCACCATCGATCCTCCCAAAGAACACACATTCCTAATGGACTCAAGGAACCCTTTTCTCATCTCTGATTAAGGAAACTTCTCTCTTATTGTTTATTACACAATCAAGCGTTGACTAAATGGAAGGGAACCCTTTTCTTCTAGTTGAATAATCGTGACACGTGCAAAAAAAGCACAAATCTAACCATCCTTTGTTTTTTTTACCAAAGATTAAATGGTAAATAACGTAAGTACAACATTGGGGGACCAGAGAATCTATTAACTCGAGAAGATCTAATGGACTCAAATCTAATGGACAACTTCCTAAAAAGAAGGAGGCCCAGTTCTCAGATTACCTTTTCTAGACATGGGCTAATAAATTCTTCAATCATTGGATAGTCAGTTAACGTTAAGGTGTGGCCGCATGACGTTTTAAGTGTATGTTCTGTAATTAGCATTTAGCAGTTGCTTGAAGGGGCAAGTTGGGCTTTTAGTCTTGTACTTATTTTTGATAAAATAATATTGTCTGAACTGAAAATTACTTCGTATTATTTCTACAATCTCTCTCCGTACAGAGACAAGCATGGTTTGCCTCTCTTCTCTCTCTCTTCCTGGTAAGCCCCCCTGTTCATTTTTCTATTCTCTAAAACTAAATGTTAAGGTTTTTACAGGAGAAATATTAATATTAATGCTTCATTGCTGGCTTTATTTTTTAAAGTTTGACCTTTTTCTCGTCCCTTAATAAAGAATGTGATGAGAATAAAATTTAGAAACCTGAAAATTAGATGCATTGAGTGTTTCTGATATATGGGCTGCTTAGTTTTTTATGTTTGGTTGAATGCTTGCTGATTTTGGAATTTATGGCTCTCTTCAACAATCATAATTTTTCAATCTCAGGAGATCAAAAAATGCCTTTTTGTTGGCATTAATTGCTGGGTTGATTATTTCAGAGGTTGACTTTACAGGGATTTGACGCCCTTCATCTGATAATACCAAGGGCAGATGTTGAGATCTTACTTCTTAGATGTTGATGAACAGCTGCAAAGATGAGCATAAGTAGGCTACTTTCTTGCAGGTTCTGTTGACCAGGCTATCAGATCCACACTTGACAAATTAAGCTTGCTGTTTCACATGAGTTCTTATTAAACTCCAGACTTTCAAGCTAGTGGAGAAGGGTTTCCCTTTCGATTCTTCATTGTCTTCTCTTTTTCAGGATCCCTGGTGAGCACATGTTTCTTAGATATGGTTGCGACTTTTTATAATGTCTATTTTCTCCTCACTGTCCACTGGAGGTGATGCAGTTGATTTATAGCATATTTAATTGTCTTGTTCTGTGAGGAATTGAGAGTTGATTAGATAAAAAATGCTTTAATGTTCCAGCATAATAGATGGCTGAATATAATGAATTTCCTGGAATGTGCATTACTGATAGCATAATTGAAGGGGGTTTTTCTGGTAGTTGTTTGATAGTTGATGGGGGTTTGGGTTTTAGTCCCTATTGGCAGAATGTTCTGATACTTGATGGGAATTTGGCTTTACATGTCAAAAATCGCACAATGTTTAAACAAGTTTTCCTGTTGGCATCAAAGTTATTACTATTTTGGAACTCAACTATAGCTCGTAGAGGTTACTGCTAGAGTGGATAGAAAAACAGTCTCTGCATGGAGAAACATTACTGCTCCAAGGAATGTTAGTGAGGCAGAGAGGAAACGTAGAACCAAGATTAATGAACATCTTGAAACGCGAGTACCCGGTACTCATAAGTTAGTTGTTTTTTGTCAGGATTGATTAGGTTGAGGTTTGAGTTGTTAAGAATAAGAATGACTGAGCTGCGCTGCTATGATTCGCTTGGTTATCAGTTAGTTCTGATAGTTTTTCATAGCAGTTAAATTTTCAGGTAATTGCTGTCATTGATCTTCTTCAACACCTGTGACCTGGGTTTTTCTCACATGATTGCAAAACTTGAACGCTTTAATAAAGCCAGGATTGGAAATAAATAAAAAATTTCTCCTCTCGCAACGAACCCTAAACAATCTATGCTTGGAAGTAGAATTAAAAAGAAAAAAATAAAAGAAAAGAGGCAGCACAAGTACTGATAGAGCCTATCTTTTTGCTTGTTTTTCTATACAGTGCTCCAAGACCCAAAGCAAACAATGGAGACTTGATTGAACTTGAAATAAAAAAAATAATGATTCTTGAAATTTGAAAAATAATGAAATGAAGGAAGAGTAAATTGAAATTTGAATCAAGACAATATAAATTTAAAGTTTAAGTACTTAATTAAACTTTGAATTGATTTAATTAATCAAATCGAGAGCTAATTGTAGAATTGATAAGTTTGGAGACTTAATTGAACTTGAAATTAGTTTAATTAATGACATCAGGGGCTTGATTGAAGAAATATAAAAGTTTGGGGCTGATTCGGGTTAAAATTGCAAGAAATTCAAGTTAAAGGACCATTTTGTAAATGTTGCTAAAATGTAGGCTTCTAATTACAATTTAATCAGGGGCTGGATTACAGAGTTTCAGAATTGCAGAACTTGAGTTACCAAATTAAAAATGGCTATTCTCATCCCAAAACGGCACTGTTTCAAAGAAAACTGTTTATCTCCGTCATCCCGATTGAGCAGAAAAGACAAAGAACGTGGTAACGTCTTTGCCCCACGCTATTAATAGTCTAATAATGGATGCTATCCGTTGTATGTATTGGCCAAAAATACGAATTAGATATGCATATGAGGAGATTAATGTATTTCTTGGGCTGAGTTGGGAGGTGTGGAATGGAGAAACAAGAGGTCAAAGTATGCTCAAAACAATGAAGAAATGAACACAACAGAAAAAAAAGGAAGACCAGAGGAAACCCGAGATCAACACAAAAGGATGCGAAAAAAAGAGAAACCATGAGGACGAAGATACAGAGAGAGAGAGAGAGAGAGAGCAAGACGCGGAGAGAGACAGAGAGAAAACAGGGAAACAAGAATAATAGAGAGAGAGAGAGAGGATATCAGAGGAGAAACGAAGAGAGGAAAGCATCGGCCTGCACTGCACCACCTCAAGCCTTCGTCTTCAAACGGCAACAGAAGCGCGTAAGTCTTCTTTCTTTCCTTTCCAAATATAAATTACCTTATTACTATTGAAATCATGCCACCAACAGTAACCAGGCTGGGCCGGTTGGAACAAGCCTAGCCGGCCCAATCTCTTTTATTTCATTTTATTTTATTTTGATATTTAAGTAATTAAGTCCTTTCTGAATATTATAAAATTTTAAAAATATTTGTGAATATTTCTAAATTTATTTGTGGATTCCTTGTTTTTTTAGGTATTTATCTATAATATATTTTTTTTCTTTAAAAAATAAAAAATATTTACAATGATTTAAATTTATTTTATTGGTTTATTCATCAACATCAAAGCTAAAAATATCATATATTTTTTTTACTATATAATATGTACTAATATTATAGTGAATATTGTTAAAATCAGAAATACGATAAGCAAACAATTAAAGATAAATATACAACAATTTATTAATAATTTAAGATAAAATTAGTAATGCAACCTGCTTTAAATATAATTTTTAAAAAATGATAATATTTTTTATTTTATTTTGCATAACTAATTTTGTATTATAGAATTTTTGTTAATCAATAAAAATTTTTAATGAACATAATATTAGATAAAGAGACTTTTAAAAAGACCTTTCTTTTAGAAACAAGATTCCAGAAATTATAATTTTTTTCAAATTGAATTTTTGAAAATTGTAGTATCAACTCCCAGTCCTGCTCCCAAATGAAATTACAACATAGTTGTGTCGATGATTTGGGATTCAGTGAGCCGTTGGGTCTTTGAAGGACCGCAATATAGCATATCAATCATGATAGTTTAGTTTGATTTGTATCAGAATAGTTCAGACAGATGGCTTATTTTTATATAACGTTTGAGTCCTCATGCGCATGCTCAAGTTTAGTGACTAGTGAGTGTGAGCATTCCTTGAGAGAGCCCAGACAAAGATAGAGAGAGAACCTGGTGGACTGCAATGCTGGAATTAATTCCGGCTCCATTGATCTTCTGGCCATGAACATAGTCTCTCCTTACAGAATGGGCCTCTACCTCAGGACATACAACAATCACACTGATGTGCTTTGGGAAATCAAGCCCCTTTGACTGCAAATGCTCGATAAGAAATCCATGGGACAGCCCAAGGATGCTGTTTGGCTTCATGTGAGACAAAACTCTCTCATAAACACCAGCCTGATGCATCATGATATTAAAGTTGAACGGTTAAGACTGTCACCAAAACAGGCATTCATCAACACCAAACACATGGAATTTATGAGATGACCTATTAAGCATTGGATCATACGGAATGCATCACAAAACTTTTACCTCTGCTTGATGGATTACGGAGAAAAAATGAATTGAAAGCAGGTGAACTGGAGATGTGCTAGAAAATCAGAAACATTTTCCTCTCCTATTCTAATTTTATAGAACCAAAATCAACCTCGCGGCTTCACAGAAGAAAACTAAGCAAGCACAAACACATCTGCAGACGGACGTATCATAAATGTGTAGTCACTAAGAAATAACATACACTTAGCAGTTTGCAGGAATGTCTTTTTTAAAAGTTGAGACCACATAGAAGAACCTTGAGGAAGCAAATCGGTATTGAAACAGTTCACACAGAAAAGTAACCCCTGAAGAACGTCACAGGAAACAAATTGCTACTATGACATTGAAGACAAGTAGCAGAACAACATCATTTGTATTCCATGCCAGAACTTTGTATTTTCTTTTTTTTTTCTCCCCGCAGAACGTGCGCGGACTCGAGTTAAGAATACTAAAGAATCTAGTCTCTTTTTTTGCCCTAAATCTCAGCAGGCACAAACTGAAAGAAAAATACAGAAACAACAAATAGAGAAACAAATTCAGAATTCACACTGAAAGATTAATTAACAAACAAACCTGCGCAGCATCAGAAATCAAAAGAAGCACAAGATCACTGCCTGAAATAGTTTCCCAGATATCTCCTAAAGTATCGCTCTCTTCAGTAAAACCAGCAGCACGAGCTTCAGCAAAAGAGCAAGAATCCTTCTCGAGACCGACCTATATCATACATAGTAACCATGTAACTTCCTAAACAGGTAAAATTTCTGCATATATCTGCATATAAGAGTGAGGTGTAAATAATTAGTTGCCTTGACTTTTATAGCAGACATGGCTTCAGCAAGTGCATCCCTTAAATTCTGAGCTTGAACAGAACCCTGGTAATGAATGAGGGCTTGTTAGCAATCCACAGAGAGTCATGGTAAAAATAGCATTAAAGGAAAGATTTGTGATAAAAAGAAGCTACCAAACATCATATACAGATTGAGCTATCGATATAAATGCTCGCATCCATAGACTCTGTTTCCAGTTTCCACATACACACTCCAAAAGATTTCGTAGAATGGGAAAGAGGGCTTTTGATACTACCAAGTTTTAGTCCTCAAGCAGAACCAAGACATACCAATAAGGTACTACAAATTTTAAGGCAATTGTACATATTTTAAGCGCAAAATTGATAGTATTCACCTGGGAAACCCAACCAATGACACCAATCTGTTTAATGCGCTGGAATGCATATGGGAGCAAGCGAAACACATCCTTGCCTCCTCTCACAATATACCGCAATGCAATAGGAACAAATCATCAACAATAACCAATTTTACAAACAGAAAGAAGTTAAACTTGGAGGGGGAAACAATCTATTAGACAGAAACCTAATAGTTATCTTCCTTTATGAAACACTAAATTGAAGTTTCTAATATTTGATTATAAAATTTACAAGATGGAGCTCTAAATTTAGAGAATGAAATGGAAAAAATAAAATTTTAAAAATCACACCTTGTCATGGCCAGCGAGAATGATCTTCTCCTTCTTGAAAACGAAGGTCTCAAAATCAAGAGAGGTCGGAAGCTTTACCCTCGGATGCATGACCCTTTCAGCAGCACCAACTGAGCCCCTTCCGTCATGGCCACCACCGTCACCTCCACGAATTTTAGTAATAGTAGCTATGATCGCTTGCACAACCACAGGATTCAAGAAGACCGATTTAAGGAATTTTGGTGCATCGAAAAGAAAAGCAGAGACGTTGCCATGCAATTCAAATTGTGTATCTTTTACATAAACAGATGAGGAGATCTTCTCACTGCTTGCAAAGCGGCTGAGAAAACCGAGACTTGGGGCACGCGGTGGTGGTGAGCCCGCATCAGCTGAGCCGTCACCGTACACGTCCTTTTCGCCGCCGCCTCCGCCACTACCAATACTATTTTTAAGCAGCTCAGTTATTTTTAAGACAGCAGCTGCCATGGCCATGACACGTGATAGAAACTCTTGCGGATATTGGACGGGTTCTGATGGTTTTGGAGGAATGGTGAGTGGAGGGAGAGGGACAGAGGCATCAAAATGAGTTTCAAATAGTAACTCCTCTTCCTGAACACCATCAGGGGATATTTGCTTCTTCTTGCTGCAGAAGGTCCCGAAATGAAGAGAAGCTGACAACGGTTTCAACGGCATTCTAGACCCTACTGTTGAGCCTGACAACTTGGGTTTGCGTGTTCTAGAGATAGACCCTTATGTGAATAGTTGTTACGTAGAGATTTTGGCTGTGGTGGTTTAGGGCTGTGTAGAGCACAAGAGCAGTAAGTAGCCGCCATTGAGGTTTCGGAGGCGGAGAAGACGATATCCGGAGTTTTACAGGAAATGGACAGTGGAAGTGATTTTTTGGGTTTATCTGTGGCAACACAAGGAAGGGCGACACAAGCTCATTGTTTTACATGTAATATGTCCGAAACATAAGGACAGCTTTCGAAGGCGAACGCACGAAGCCCGACCTGGATACCCTTACTAACTAGTTCCGACATCAAATTTGTCGTCTTTGGCGTAACGATGTGGAGGCCAATGTAGTCATTTTAATATTTTGTGTGATTAATTATTGGTTACCTGAGGACAGGGCTACCCAATGTAATTAATTAGCGAGGTATAATTTATTTTATCTCAAGAAAATAGAAATAAATTTTATAACACTTGAACTGTGATTACAAATAATATTTGTATCGTTGACGAAAGAGAAACAAAGATGGAGTAGCATAGATTTTTTCTCAATAAAACACCTCTGCAAATCTCTAGTCTCTTTATACGTTAAGAGAGCAAGAAAATTTGGGCGATGATTGGCTAATAAGCTATGTTAATTTGTTATAGGTAATTGGTGGGTTGATTATTTAATTAGAGGTTGACTTTTATTAATTTTTGTTATTTGCTATAGGGCCTATTGAGGTGGGTTGAAGATTTGAAGGAGCTGAAGAAGAGGCTGGTAGAGGGCAGTGGAGATCTCCTCGGACCTTGTGATGTTGATGGAGTGAAGAGTTGACTTACGAGGGGATGGTTTGGATGTAGCGATTGCAAGCCTGGATGAAGAATGTTTTTGTGATGACCTGACCATCTGTAGGCTCTGCCCATCAGGTTATCAGATCCTTCCTTGTCATCTTTATTCAGAAGTAAGCCATGGTGAGGGTATGATTTCTTTGTGATGGTTGTGACTTTTATATATAATGTTTCTCTTCTCCTTATTTTCAAGCTATGATGACCGTATGATTTCTTTGTGATGGTTGTGACCATACTGAATATGAGACTTTGTTCTTCTGACTGAACAAGTGTGTAAGGCTCTGGTTTCGACAGATTAAATGATGGGTTTATGCTGAGTTTTGGGTTACAAGCAAAAACCAGAAAATGGTCTTGTTAAACTTCCTCTTTGGTTTTTCTCAATATAGACATCACCCAAAACATATATATGTGTGTTGTGATTTCTGGTGGTTGATGACATGACTACTTTATTGTAATTAATCTTGAATCAAGTGCAAGTGGTGTTATTTATGGACTATTTGATAAGAAGCTATCTTTTCCTTGTTTATATACACATGTATTCGAAACGAAAGAAGCTCTTAAATGCAAACCATCCTGAATTTTATATGGATTTGACTGGTTTTGTAAGAGCTGGATGTATAGTTGTTGTCAAGTTTCCAGCTTACGCTTTTGTTAACTTGGGTTCCTGAATTATTAATTTGAACTTTCAGGCGCAAAGCATCATTGCTTGCTGGAGATACAAACCACTTGAAGGAGCTCGGGAAGAAGGCTGCAGAAGGTAGTGAAGGTCTTTTCATGCCATTGGATGTTGATGAAGAGTTGAGTATAAGAGTACGGTTTGCATGGTGCCTCCTACTTAATCAAGGCTTCTATATGCTGTACCTTGGAAGGCAGGGTGAAGAATACTTCTTTCTGACGAACAGCTGCAAAGAAGGGCACTGTGATGATACCGGAGTAAACCAGTTTCTTCCAGGCTCCATCCAACAGGCAGCAAATCCATACTCGACAAATTTCCCGCCTCACAAGATTTCTCATTAAAATCCACATTTCGAATAAGAGGAGAAGGGTAGCTTTATTTAAACCATCCCCGTCATCTTCTTCAGGACATATCAGGTAAGCCTATCATTTTTTAGTGATGGTTGATGCTTTCACAAGGTTCATTATCTCCGCTCTCATCATAGAGGGTGGTCATGTCATGCAGTTGATTTATAGGATATTTTATCTCGTTCTGTATGAAAATGAGAGAGATACAGTTACAGACATGTACTGCACTTTTTATAATGATAATTACTGATAACATAATGCAATAATAAATGCTACTCATCTCCACACAATTTCTTCTGGAAATTTGTTTTTTGATGTCTTTCTCATAACCTCTTAATAATTAATGGAAGTTGGCTTTAATACTTTTTTTTTGCTTCAGTACATAATGTCATTTGCGAGTAATAGAATACAAACTGAAAAATTGTACAAAACACTAGTAACATTTAATGCGATGATTTTATAGATCTATATGGAAAGTAAATCGATTATATAACCCCGATAATCACTTGCCACTTCAGTTAGTGCGATTTTTATGGATGTTTGTATAGAGTTCTGCGTATTTAACTGTAGTGCAGTGTTATTTAATAAGTTATTTTGTCTGCATAAAGAGTCTAGTTTTGCTGTTAAATCTGCCTTAGATTCAGCTTCTGCATATTAGTATTCGTATTGAGAGTCAGAGTTTCCTTAGCAGTTTGGTTTGGAATTCAATGACGAATCGTCATTTCCTATGTTGACTTAACTGAAAGCTTCACTTCTATTCTCGAGCAAGACCCCCCTCTTCCTGACAGGGCTAGTCCCCAAGACCAAGGGAACTGATGGAGGAAATGCTTGTCGACAGATTTTAAAGAAAAACACCATTGTTTTTGGAGGAAGCGAGTGAAAAGATGAATACCTGGATTGAGTTAAAAAGCGCAATAGAGAAAGCCAGTATATAAAGAACGAGTCAAAAGCATAGTTTTAAAACCCGACCCGGTTATTGACTCGGTCCAGCGATCGGGTTACGGGTTAGATGGGTTGACCCGGGTCAATCCAAAAAAACACTTATATAAAACATATAACAAAAAAAGATTATGCTTCCCAGTAAATTTTGTCAAAGCTATTTTCTTATCCTGAACTAATAACAAGCAACAAGATGTGGAAAATCAGCCAGCAGTCAACATGAGAAAGCATTGAGAAAGGAAAGTTTGATGCCACAATAACTCTAGTAAAAGTTGATAACATCAACTAACTAATTAATATCACAGTAACTCCATGAAACATGATTAACTAAGCACAACCAGCTTAAATAAAAATCTAGGGAAGAATCGATGCCACAATAACTCTAGCAAAAATTTGCAAAAGCAAAAGCAGAACAAACACGCCAACTTGTAGGCCAACATATCAAAATCTCTACAACTTATGTTTGCTTAAATTTACGGTCAACTGTAAAACCAAACAAACATTACATTTTATTCCAGAGGTACATACAAATCATGCTTGAGTGTCACTGTCATTTCTTGAGTTCTTGTAATGCCTCTTGACCAAAAAACAGAAGATGCCTTTTTAATGTCTCCATTCTGTACATGCAAATCATTACATTTTATTTTTAATGACTAGGCAAGTATATAAAAGTTAGCAGCAACAAATAAGAACCTTGAACTCATAAACCACACCAGTATTAGAAATGTGTGGAATCATTAGCAAAAAGTAAAAATAAATAATGAGATAAGTAAGAGTTAGTCAAGTAATATAAGACATCAAAATACATAGACATCCTTTCCCTGTATTATTCCACAGGTACAGAGTATAGGAGTTTACTTGGCCATCTTTCTGTCTAAAAAATATAGCGTCGAGCTTCATGGTTAATTTTCTTGAACTAGAAGAACCTTTCATTTATGGCTATGTTCCAAGATATATAAGTGAATTAGTTGAAAACCAGTGGAGTCTATGTGAAAACATTACAATAGCATATACTCTCAGTAAGAATACTTCTATGCATGTGCTGTAATTGACACGAGCTCATCATCGAAATAAGAGATTACACAAGAAGTTCCAACAAAAATTACTTCCCGGCATTCAAGTTTGCTTCTTGTGAGAAACACATGAGAAGATGAAATATTTTAACTATAATCAATAATTCTTACAATAGCTTTAATCTCTAGCTATAACAGTTCCAGAAGCAAATGCATCGAACAAAACTAGTTTCCTCATCCATTTTCGACACTTCCTAATAACAGAGGATTTATTATACTGCAGAAAAGAAAAGAACATAGAAACATACTTGAGGTTGAGATGATTGGGCTGCGAATGAATCAATGCGATTGAATCAACGAACAGCAAAATGATGCCAGAACTGCAAGTTTAAAACATGGCCAAGAATAAAGAAAAGAGAGAGTGAAAGAAGAAGATTCGTGAACAAAAGCAAGAGTCTAACCTTTTTCGTAGTGAAACAACAATGATTAAGACGTCTTCTGCTATCCTCAACTCCTCATCAATTGAAATTATCTTTTTGTTAATTAGGTTTGCTTTGTGATCAATATGCCCAATTCTGTTTCATTGTTCTTCGTCATTTTGGCCTTTAAAACAAAGGCCAAAACGACGTCGTTTAACATCTATCAATATAAAAAAATAGACCAGGTCTCAGCCGGGTTTGACCGGGTGGACCGGGTCCCGGGTCAACCCTCCGGGTCGATCGGGTTTCACCGGGCCAACTCCCAAATGGGTTTTTGCCTCCACCCGGACCGGTTCCAGGCCTGGGTCAGCCGGGTACCGGGTCGACCCGCCGGGCCACTCCGGGTTTTAAAACACTAGTCAAAAGAGAGGGTAAATAAGCTATCTTTTCCTTGTTTCCTTTGGGAGTGATCTATGAGTGCTCCATGCTTGATTCTTCTTTTCAGGTTTGCATTTAAGAGCTTCTTTCGTTTCGAATACATGTGTATATGCATGTTCTGGAAAATGGTCGTCTCTTTCCAATCTCACCATTTTTTCTTGGACTAAAAGAGATTGATAATCAGATCTGAATTAATTGAAATATACATTGAAGGATATAAACTGCTGGTTGTTGGTGAATGTGTGTGCTCAAACTTTCCATCTTGATTGGTTGCATGTTGCTTATCATAAAATGTTTAATAAAAGTCCTCAAGTTAAGGGAACTGAAATTCAAATTGCAACAGACCTGATTTGTAAGTAGAGGGAAATAATAGAAGAAGATAGTAGTGCAGAAAATAGCTGGTTTCTTCAATGAATAAAGGATGATTGAAAGGATTGGATACCACTCTAACAGAAGGGAAAAATAGGTAAGTTTCTGCATGCTTGTCATTAAAAAAAAAATGACGGAGAAGTAGCTTATAAGTTCAAATCTGAATCATAAACTTTAAGAGAGTTATTTAGAATTAAAATATTAAAAATAAATCAAGTTAAAGGCATGAAAGTAGAAACCAAGATATAGTAGATAGCAAAAATAAAAACAAATTATACAATTCTTGTATGTCAACAATTAATTATCCAATTCAATAAAGCAAAAATAATCTTATAAATATTATAGCTTGTGAGACATATCAACAAATACCTCTTGTTTTTGGAATATAATGTGGTTGGAACTTAAAGTTTTTTTTAAAAATTATCGTAAAAGTGTGTATAAGCTTGAAGATTGGTTGGTCAGTCTTTGAAACCACTAAAATATAATTATGACTTAACTATCACAAACAAAATAAATTTGTAGGATGATCATGAAAACCAGGTCGAATCCAAGAGAAATTTTGTTTAATTTTCCTACAATACTGAAATGAAAAGGAACAAGGGATTTGAATGAAAAAAATCAAGAAATAATAATTCTAAAAATAATAAATTGATATGTTATTAAATCAATTCAAGGGTCCACGAATCCATTTCTATAAATCTATTGGTCATCGAAATAAAATAAATATTCTTTCACGTTAAGCAAATAAATTCAATATCCCTTAAAGATTAGGGAAATCAATGAGATTACGAGTACATTAATTAAAAAAAGCTTTCTAATCAATTTCTTAGCATCAAACGAATGTAATATTAAAAGCATTTTTCATTCACGCGGTAATAGTCTTAGGAATAAAATCCATGTATTTATTCTAAGCAAACGTTCAAAAGCTTCAGAATTTTAACTTAGTTTATTATTTTCTAATAAATCAAGATGAGAGTTATAGCAATCGAATTAATTCTTTTGCTTCTTACTGTAGTCTCTAGCAAAAATTATGGATTGAAAGAAACTAGAAAGCATACATGACATCTCAAAACAATTCAATTGAATAACAATCAATAGCATAATTATGAACAAGAAAAAATAAATACTTGAAAATGAAAGAATTACAATGATAACGTTACTTCTCACAACATGTTAATAGAGATGATGTGTGTCCCTCTTGAACTGAATTTAGGACTTTAGTTCATGGTTGTTGAAAAATTGACAAAAGTATAAAAGAAATGAATGTTTTTCTGATCCTGTTTAAGTTCTGTTCTTCTCTTTTTATCCTCCCCTTTTGCTATTGAAATCTTTATGATTCTTAAGCTAATTAAGAGTCTTCATAATGCTAAATTCTTTCATACTTTATCTGATCTTTAAAGTTGGATAAATCTCTTAAAATTTGTATTGAAATCTGCTTCTGCTGCTATCACAATTCTATTGTAATGTTGCAATGTGGACTTTGATTTTGACTTGGTTTCTTGAAATATTCAACCATCCCAACTATATTCTTTCATTCATGTCATATTAAAGGCTTGATCTACACCTTTCTTGGATCCTGAGACTCACTGTTTTTATGTTAGATTCTCAACCATATTAAGATGCTCCGCACTGTTAGTTTTCAAATCAAATTAGGGGACCCATTAAGACCAACCATATTGCATTTAGATTTTTTCCTTTAAAATGACTTTTATTTTATTTTAATTCTTTCATGAAAGTTGTAGTTTGGATGTGTTGATAAATTTAAAATTTTGAATTGCTTGATTTCGATATTAGAAGCTCAAGATATTCTTGTTTGAATCACTGATGTGAAAGCAGAGAATCTTACCGCAAAAAAAATTCTAGCTCAAGTTTGCAGGTTTGATTCATGGTCCAAATGAGATAAAAAAAATTACCCATAATACTTTCTTGGAAAGCTTGACATATGTAATTTGACTTAGATTAAGTCCACCTTCTCATTCTGGAACTATAACTTGGCAAAAAACATGTCACAAAAAGTGAGGTCAAAAGCATAAAATACAAAATTTCTTATCTTTTAGCGATTAGTTTATAAAGTCTCTTCCACGTGCTAAACTCATAAAAATAACTT